GAAGTAAAAGGTCAGTAAAGAAATGAATCAATCAAGGCACAGCCAAACAGTTTTCATTTTAGATTTGAAAGCTCTTAATGGTCAGGTACCATATCTTAAAGAGCTCATTGTACCTTACTACCCCACCAGAGCACTGCACTCCCAGAATGCAGGGTTACTTGTGGTTCCTAGAGTCTCCAAAATTAGAATGGGAGCCAGAGCGTTCAGCTATCAAGCTCCTCACCTGTGGAACCAGGTTCCAGTTTGGGTTCAGGAGGCAGACACCATCTCCACATTTAAGAGTTGGCTTTAATCTTTCCTCTTTGATAAAGCTTATAGTTAGGGCTGGCTCAGGTGAGTCCTGAACCATCCCTTAGTAATGCTGATATAGGCCTAGACTGCCGGGGGATTTCCCATGATGCACTGAGCAACTGGTCAAGGCAGATGGCCGCCCACCCTGAGCCCATGGTTCTGCTTGAGGTTTCTGCCTCTTAAAAGGAAGTTTTTCCTTGTCTCTGTCGCCGAGTGCTTGCTCTTGGTTGGAACTGTTGGGTTTCTGTAAATATCATCATAGAGTACGGTCTAGACCTGCTCTTTTATGAAAAGCGCTCAGAGATAACGGTTGTTGTGATTTGGCGCTATATAAATAAAATTGAATTGAAAGAGTGTAAGGTTGGATGTGCATCTGTATCTTGGAAGTCAATAGTAAGGTGCTTCCCTTTGTTGTTCGTTTTATCAGGCTAGGCTTAACAGGATTTAAACTTGGTTAAATTATTCTCATCTTCAATTTTATTGTTATGTGCTGTTGAAAACAACATGTGCTGGAACAAGTTTTCTTTTTCTTTTCTTTTTTTAGACACTACTAAAACTATGAAGCACCTGTTTGCAGAGTTAAGAAAAGAGACAATACAATAAAGAGTAAACTACAGGACCAGTTGGGAAAGACATTTTTTGCAGTGCAGCAGCTAGGCTCAGTTGCTAAGCAGCAGCAGCCAGAGCCACACAACCTGGATATCAACAGAGTTTTATTACTTTGTGCAAACTTAATTTATTTAGCCACCTTTTACACTTCCTGTCCAACACATGAGGGAGTCCCCACATTTTTGTCAGGATCAGACCTGAGATGGCTAACAAGCTACTTTGGCATTGGCAGATATGGCAGGGGAGCAGTGATACAGGCAGGTCCAGGCTGCTATTCCCCCTCAATGTACAGAGGGTCATGAACATTAAGAAGTGATAATTTTGATAATTATAAATACCCTTTATAAAGGAATTTGTGTCTTCTCTGTGTATAAACAGCATAACATGATGTGAATTCAGAGTGACAATGGGAGTCAATTGTCGCAAGGCAAATATTTAACCTTACCTGATCCTCGCATTAGTTTGCCCAGCGCTGTTTAACTAGATCATATTTATTTTTCAGATGCTCATCATGTCCGTGATAAACCAGCTCCATCCTGTTTACTTTCTCCATACAAATAAGGTGTGGAAGGTGATGGTGGACCCACAAGTTACCTCTTAAAAGCAAGTTTATTCACAGTCTTTTTAACAAGTTGATAACTGGATTGAGGTTGACTACATTCATTTTTAATAGTTATTATAAAACAGAGAATGTATAACAAAAAATATAAAAAATAGCTTAATATTTACTCTTAAGTGTTATTTAGATGATGTGAAATGATGAACATTAAGGCTACTACAGTTTTAACTCACAACCAGGTTCTGTTTCATTACAACTAACATCTGTGTTAGGATAAAAAGCAATGTTTTAACTGCTTTAGCCAACATCACTTTGAAATTACAATCCCAAAAAACTCACTTTGCAAAATGTACAGAACATAATGATGTTCAAATTAACACTAATCCCCCCTCTCTTTTATGGACAGACTACACTGATAGTCATTTTGCATCCATTCAGCAAATCAACAAAAAAATACATTTCTTGTGATTTCATCCACCAGATTATTTTTTAAACCTCCCAGAGTCTTCCTGGAACTGGAGCCCCTTCTCACCACAAAAGCTCTGACTCTCAGTCACACAATGCAATGCATTCAATGTGTTCCGCCTCTCTGGTAGATCGCTCCAGGAAGAGAAATCTCCAAGGAACTGTGGGAGGACGTAGAGTACCCTCCACGTCATCAGTATGTGCTGGACGTGCTTGCATTCAATAAATTATGTGATGTTGTGTCCACTGGATCAAAGTGCCCTATAGTTTTGTAAAGATGTAACTCCATTTTGTGCCATCTAAATCCTGTGATTTGATAGACCTTAGATAGAAGTTAAGACTGATGAGGGAAAGTTTCTTAACTATCTCGAACCTTGCTGCTTCAAACGTACAAGTCATTTTTGCTGGCCAAATGTCCAAATTGGGAAGCCAGAAGATCTCACAGGTGATGCACTTTCCTGGAAAACCTCAGCCTTCAGCTCTTGTAGCCGGAAGGAAAAGAAAGAGAGAGGTGCCACGACTTCCAAAAGCTCTGAAAGTCTGCCACATCAGAGGAGAAGTGATCACAAGCCTATCACCTTGTGATACCAGGCTGACGGTTTGGTAGGTGCCAGTCAAGTTAGAGTAGGCTATGTGTTTTTACTGTACAGTACACGAAATAAAACAATGAAAAAAAAAAAAAGGCAAAATTATATTTTTGTGTGTATGTTAAAGGTTCACTGTGTAATATTTAGGAAGATCTATTGACAGAAATGTAATATAATATCCATAACTATGTTTTCAGTGGGGTATAACTGTTATATTTTTATTACCTTAGGATGAATTTCTATCTACATTACACTACACTACATACACTGCGGGTCCCCTTACATGGATGTCGACATGTTGTGCCGCCATGTTTCTGCAGTAGATCGAAAGGACAAATGGCTCTACAGAGTGCATTTTGTCACCATGTTAAATACGTACGAAGAAGAAGAAGAAGAAGAAGAAGAAGAAGATACACACTGAAGTCGTAAGAACAACTTCACAACTCGGGAAATGGGACCATCTGAGGAGCACATGAATGCGCTGTGAGCTGCTGGTTGCAATTCGCAACACTCACCACTAGATGCTGCTAAAACTTACACACTGAACCTTTATTGTCAATAATACCCTCTTAAAAGTTTACAAGCCATGATGATTTCAATATAAGGATAAAGAAATTTTATGTTCTTCCTATAGTTTGTCTTTCCAGGAAGCTTCCTGAGAAATCTTTAGGAAATTACATACCCAGAAATAAAGTTTTTTCAAGATTCAAATTTGTGGGAAAACAATACAAGAGGACACGCTTGTCTTGAAAAGGTAGCTTTTCAGTGGTCCTGTGAGCAGGACACCACCATGACTGGGCTCACTCACACCTGTTCCTGCAGAAACAGGAGGTGTGTCTACTGACCCTGTTCTCCCCCACTGAGAAGATATGGACTTTCAAAATCTGTAATTGGCATAAATGTACACTTTGCATAAAATATTCAATAATAGCCTATTCATTAGCCCTGTTATGATTACCCACTGAGATATCTGACATGCAGAAGTATCTGAGAAACGTGTGAAAGGCTTTTAACTGGGATTGAATCAATATTCAAAGTGCCCACCTGTGAGGCAGCAATCTCACACACACAGATCTCATATCGGCCTAATAATCCCGTCTTGGCAGGCTGGCAAAAAAAATGACGATGCACGAGACGCCTGTCTGGTGATACAGTGACACCTGTCGTCTCCTGCAAGAGCCTCTCCTCTCTCAGGATGACGACACAGAGGGGCTAGTGGTATACAGAGATATAACAACTTAGGATGATGAGAAATCGGAGGTCAGTGCGCTCAGGTTTTTCTATTTTAAGTCACCTACTTTTATTTTTACAGGCAAGAGCCTCGCAAGAGCGAGGACGAACAGATGGGGATATTGATCGCTGCACACACTTCGGTTAAAATAGACAATATGATGACAGAACTGACTCTCAAATGGTATGGTTATAATAGTCATCATCAAACTCCATGGCGGGCAGAGGTCTCAGTATTAGAAGAATCCAGGCAGCTTCAACATTCACTGATGAAGAAGTGAAGACTTTAACTCATCGGCAGGGGGAGGTGTTGCACTGGAGCAGAGACTCGCAGCTCAGGCCACTGAAATAACAGCCAGACAGGAAAGAATATGTGTGGTCTACTGGCCCTTTGTACCAGTTTTCATTTTCATTACATATTCTGTAATATAGCATAGGCGGTATGACAAAAGAACACGTGGCTGTGGTTATATGACAAAAGTTGTCTATATTTAAATGTGAGAAATTCAAACAGGAGAGGGCCAGTATGCTGACTTCTACATGTGATTCTGTGTTTGCAAGTTTATTCTCTGTATATTTTTGTAACTGAACAGGAAAATAATAAATCACAATATTTCCATAAGCAACTGTAGAGACGAACAGGTTCAGCTCTGACACTGGTCAGTGGCCTTTCTAAACAAGTTCGAAAGATGTCACTCTGCTGCTAGATTCACAGCTGCATGCCCCACTCATACATCAAGTTGATAAATTCACATATATTTATTGATTTTAAACAACACAATATTTTTGAGGTATGTTTTGACATTTAGCTTCTGTAATGTTGTGGTTATTTTGTCACTGCGCCCTGATTTAGTTTTTATACTTATTCATTGTTACATTTGGAGGCTTCATTTCCCCCTTCTATGTTTCTTTTTTTAGTATTTTTTAATAAAAAATCTTTGACATATTTTTATACATATTTTGTCTGTGAATGTCAGAATATTTTACAAAAGACAAACATTGATTAAAGCTGTACTCTGAAAGCGTGAATAGCTCCTGTGTGTTCGGTTTACATTAAGAAATTATTCGTTAAATCCCTTTAGAAATCAACTATCAGTGTTTCCAAGCTGTTTTGTCCATCTTAATGGAAGTGTGGACAAGAAAAGTTTTTTAGGAGGCATGAAAAGATGAGAGGCAACGCAAATCACCTGACAAATTCCAACAACACAAAACCTGTTTAGTGTTTCAGCAACCCTGAAATATACACATAAAAAACATCATAAATTTGTAAATATTTATCGGTTTATTACAGTTAAAAAGATGTATGTACATACAGAACATCACCAAACATGGTCATTTTCACTCATTTGCAAAGTAGCACTTTGCAACTTGTTGGCTTCAGGATAACTGTCTTATAACGGGGCCGGCATTCATTAAGTTCGTCATTTACAACAAAGCACACAGATCAATGTATTTTTCCTCTTTTCCACTTGCCAAATAATACTTAGTAAAGGCATATAACCAAAAGTAAAACAACAGAAAGATGCTTACTATAACTAATTGGTGCTAAATTGCTGGTCCAAATCCAAGTTCCTCCTGCAAACACGCGGCTTTATATGTACACAGGTGGAAACACCTCAGACTGGATCTTGGTCACTGTGGTTAGCAATGAAGACTCACATAGAGGTAGTCATGTCTGCATCTGCTCATTCAGTCAGACAACTGACCCAAAACCTTTGCTTTCTACATCGGTTCAATCCGTGGACACAAATCCCTTTACTGACATTAACGAAAGAAAAGAAAAGTGATTATCTGTCTTTGTTGATTAAATCAAACGGTCATAAAGGTTTTGCTTGGTGCGCATAAGGCAGTCAAGTAAATGTTTGGAGAAACTAGAGCGGGGTGGGGGGTCAGGGTTTCAGGTTTTCATTAAAAGGGCCGTTCCACCAAATTTGACTGTTTAATCCTTCAACATCAACCTGAACTATCTACAAAGTGCAAGTCGTGTTTGTGCCTTTTCTGAAAACAAAGTATTTTTCCTTCCTGTGTGAAACTGCAGAATCTTGAAATAGATGTGGTTTAAAAAAAAAAAGTCTATTCAATTTTCAACAATCTCAGCCTAATAAAAGTAGATCCCACATAAATTTTCAAAAACACAAACATCTTGGTAGTTTCAGCTGGAAAAGCTCCGCCTCTGCAGAATAAAAATGCAAGTCAAGTCCGTTTTGGTGGAATTCCCATTTAATGCCAAAGACAAGTGAGATGCAAGCTAATGCACATCCACTTGGTAGCATAATGGCATTATCTTCCATTGCACTCTTGTCTTTTTGTAAAACTCTCATCACATTACAAATTTTGTAATACTGAGACTACCGTAACGTCAGATTACTGTACAGAGTAAAAGGAAAAATAAGACAAATAAACTAGACCCAAATTTACACTGTAACGACCAGTTGCTTTTCATCAAGTACAGTCAGTGGCCATAGACACAAGGAATAGCCAAACAAACACATAAAAAAAGACCATTAAGGCTGCTTGTCAATGTAGATTAAGTAGGATAAGCATTGCCACACAATGCTTCGATACCCTTTGCAATATACAAAAAGGGAGCATTTGCAGATACACCAAATAGCCACTAAATCAAAGTCCTCTATGCAAAAACGCCTGATTCTGACCCAGAAATCATGTCAAATATGTGTTCAACATGCTTGTTTCCTGTACAAAATAACCAGGCAAGAAAAAAGACAAATTGTGTGATCCAGAAAAGAAAAACAAGCGAAATGACTCTTGATTCTGCGATGCTCTCCATGGCCTAAAATCATAGACAATAGAAAAATAAATGCCAGCTATACTCCAATTATTTTGAATGCACCAGTACGCAATACATCGTCGTCATTTTAATCCAATGAGTCACACCTTTAACTGACAGGCCCAGTCGGTGATCTCCATCTCCTCCACAGCACATTAAAACTACATTCCAGGATCTGATAAATGCTCTCCGGTCCATCAGCCCAGTTCAGTTCCTGCCCCGCCTCCCATCATCCTCTTTGTCTTCATACACTGGCATTCTCAACGTTGCAAAATGGCACATGAAAAAAGTAAAAACAGAGACTGAATGTAAAAATGGGTCACAGCACTCTCGCTGCATACCTAATGCACATCTCACATTTGAGTACTCGTTGAAGGCATTTTTCACACAATTGTTACAGCTAAAAGTAAATACACACACAAAAAAAAGAAACTTCCAAAGCTTTTATATAAAACCAGGAATGCAATGCCTCCGGTGTGTTGAGCGTGAACACAGAAAGCCCTTTTTACATTTTTTTTTGTCTTTTCCGACAGTCTTGTACTGTAACTGCGTTAAGCTCAAATATGCACCTTGTTATGTTGTCTCATCGTTGTGTCCAAACGATTTGATCTGTGAGAAAACCACCGGGCCTGACGCCAAATCAAAAAGGTCAGTGGATTTGTCCCTCGTCAGGTTTTCGAGTGAAGTCTGTATCAGTGTTGGGAGTGAATCGCATCCCGGCTCCTGCCCTCTCTGCCCCCCCCCTGTCATGAACAGCATTTGTTTCAGTCCTCAGAAAGCAGCAGCAGGTTGTGCTGGTAAATTAGAAGCAGTGGTAAATCGTTACCCCGACCCGGCCCCACCCCGAGGTGAACAGTGGTGCTCATCACTCAGGCCTCCCTGTGTAGAAGCCCGAACCACAGCCCACTTAAAACACACCAAGCTGCTGCAAAAAAGCAGACCCACACATTTCAATAAGAAACAGAATCATGATTGAATATAGGGCTGGGATGCAACACATTTTCAAAAGTAAAAATTAAAAAAAAAGTTTGGTGTGATTACCTTTAGTTGGGATTTTTAATATATAGTCACTTGAAATAATGCTAACACATTTCATCATTTAGAAAAAAGAAAACACTCAATGTAAATTGATATAAAATAAACAATCCTGATCTGAACTGCAATAAGCCATTTTACGCTTGCAATTGAGAAAGCAGGATGTGGGAATCTTAAAACATCTTATAGCCACTCAGAGCCTTTTACAGTTTAACAGAGCAAGTTCCTTTTGAGATTGACAGGATAAAACTTCCCCAAAGAAAGTTACTAGTATATTCTGAGCCTAATAAACTCAACATTTATATTTAACAGATAGAAATTTACACAATAAACCGTTTGTGAAACAGATAAAATACTTGATACTTATGAGACAAAATGCCCCCATTGGAAATAACCAATGAGAGGCTACTGTGTGTTGTTTTTTTCTTAATATAGAGGATTCCGAATGTGTTTTAAAAAAGTGCATAAGAGCAGCAGCATAGCTGGGACAGTGTGGGACAAAAGACGATATTTTCTAAATAAAGTTACATTATAAATCTAATAAAGGGAACATTTTCCACCACGTAAGTAAGATTCGTACGAGACCTTGTAAAACAAACAAACAAACAAAAAAAAACTACAGATAATGTAAGGATATTAACAAAAAAAGGAAGCGTTACCTGTCAATGTTTTATTATCAAACTCTTGTCCCTGCACTTACCACTTGCTCCAGAGACTGTGTTTTTAAAAACGCTTGATATGTTGGTCAATGATCAGTTGAACTACAGCGATGCAGCCCAACACTGAAGATAACCTCCAATAAGTAAACAAAACTAAAAATTGCACTCAAGGCAACAACCAGGACTTGTATACATTTATAAAGCCTCCCAAGATCTCCCATCATTTATCCCATCACCTATGCATGTTTGACTTTTTACCTTTTTGTCACAGGCGGGGGTCACAGCACCACCCGTTTTGGAGAAAAGTCCTAACTTGCCCCCCCCACCAAGCATGTATGATTGGCATTTCTCATATGTTATACATTTCCAGCTTAATGTTTAACTACTGCTGCTATTTGTTAAAAAGATCTCAAATCACCTGACTTTTACTGATACCACTTGCTTTAACAGATTAATCCAACAGCAAAAGGAACAGTAAAAAAAAAAAGGGAAAAAACAAAAGTAAAAAAAAAAAAAAAGAAGAAAAAGGCAGTAATAAAAGAAGGATTATTGAAATAATTTATCTCTTTGTATTCTCACGGACAATTGCGTTTAGAAATGAACCGCTGGATCACTCTAAACATAGGCACAGTTTAAAAAACAAACAAAACATTAAAAAAGGTTAATAAAAATTATAATGAAATAAATTATAAACACACCATCATTAGACCTTTGTTCTCTGTGGTCAAGAAGCAATTAACATAAGTTATCTTGAGTGAAGGTGATGTATATATATAAAAAAAAAAAGGGAGTATCAAAAGAAAATGACAAAGTTACGGCAGCAGCAGTGTGAAGTTCCAAAGACTGTTTTTGTTTGTTTTTGCATACAATTGTATCCTTGCTCACGTAATAGATGCTTGTAATTACTGTAAATATATTGGCAATGGGAGCACGGTTTATATGGTTAAAAGACTTGCCACTTAGCTCACAGTTACTCAATATATATAATTTTATATATCTTCAGTTTTGGCAAAGAGATGGAAACATTTTCCTCTTGTATGATTCAGAATGAAAAATGAGCGGGGGTGGCTGGGGTCCAAAATGGTTGTGATAAACTCTGGAGTTCCGTTGTTTCTTCCTCTTCCTTGTATTTGCCCCATGACACTGATTGTGGCGAGTCTGTTTTCTTTACAGTGTATGATACACGTGGGGGGGGGGGCAGGCAAGCGAGAAAGTGCAGAGCAAGTGGAGGATTTGGAGTCAAGTTGGACTGGAATAGAGCTGCTCTTGGCTCAGACCATGGCACGGTATGGTCCCTGCATCTTGAGGAACTGGATGATGAAGGAGGGGCCTCCCGCGACAATCTGGGGCGGCAGGTGGCTGAGGGGACAGTTCTCGATGCTCATGATGGACAGCTTGCTGCAGAGGGCCAGCTCGAACGGGAGGCTGTGCAGGTTGGGGTTGTCGTTGAGGTACAGTTCCTCCAAGTTCTCCAGTGTACCTGAGGACAGACATCACTTACTGTTAGCTGAGGTACGCACTGTAGCTGATGCCATCATCCAGGGAAACAGCAACGGAAATCAACAGCCTCCGAGCAATACGTGTCCATGAAATGTGATTTTTGTTTTACTTACTGAATCGTGTTACACAGGGTTGCAAGTAACAATTATTTTTATTATTCTGCAATTTTTATTCTATGAAATGTCAAAAAGATGCAGGAATGCCTAGCACAATTTCTAAAATCCAAGGTGATGTCCCCATGGTTCTTGGTTTATGGGATCATAAGTTCAAAAACCAAAAAGGTATTCAATTTACTATCATGCATGACAAAGAAATGTTTGGTATTTTGGTTAATGAATGTTCAAAACAGCTGATAAGTTCTCTGTCGATGTACTAATGTTTTAAGCTCTAATGATATTGTACTGCTGTCTCAATTATATGTACCACTCCTGAAAAGACATGATATGGTTAAAAACACTCTAGTGGCCCTTTAATTTAAATCCCAGCACATGTATTGTTGCACCGATACAAAATAAAAAGCCAAACCAAGACACCAGCTCACAGGAAATCACTAATGGCCCCGAAGCGATGATGAAGAAACTGGGTATGGTCTTCCTTCCTTTCCTCTTTTTTTTTTTTTTTAACATGACAAACTATGAGTGATAATGTTTATACATTTTACACTGTCATACTATAGTTGTTCCTCTGAATAATCTAAAAATACAACCTCCTTTAGTTCCTTTCTCCATCCGATTTAATCTGGGGCCTCAAGCTTAACCTCAGCAGTAACCAGCCTAGCCATGTTGGACCAATCACTCGGAGGAAGGGTCAGAGGTGGGACGTACTGTGGACTGTTAAGCTCTTAAATCCTTACGGTTAAGTTTGGCTTTTATCAAGAAAACAACGTTACACAGAACTCATTTGTAAAAGGAGATATTCAAAAAGGGGAACCAGCTCTTCCAATATTGTTGATAGCACAAATAAAAATAAATGATAGTAGATATTCGAGGTTAGTCAACTTGTGCTCTTAACTATAAGACTACGTACATGTTTATAAACATCCCTGAACAGATTAACGGAGCATGTTACTGATTTCAGAAGTTGGAGGTTTGAGGGGAATACATACCAATCTCCTCTGGAAGGTGCTGCAGCAGGTTCTCCCCCAAACCAAGGTGAGTCAGGTTGGTGAGGTGGCCGATGCCTCTGGGTAACGTACTCAGCTGATTATTTGTCAGCACCAATTTCTAATGAGAGAACAGGAGCGCAGGAAGTTTATTATGTGCCCTATGGGTTTGCTGAAATGAGAATTGCATTTCCCAATCAAAATGGCTCCTTAGATTAAGTTACCAAACATTAATGTGGAAATAAAAATATCCTTCTTGGTTGTCAATACAATCTAACCATTTATCACCCAGTTATATCCAATATCACTGTCTGTTCCTAAAAGAGACTAACTGTGGATGATTAGCTACATATTATGGCTAAAAGCATGTCTACTAACCTGTTCCTTAAAACTGAAATAATTTGTTTATAACAAAGGATTTGGCTCTGGTTCTCATTAGTTCCTTGTTCTAATTAGTAGACTTATTAAAGCACACCGTTATTAAAATCCACATTTATTTACAGCAACTTTAAAGGAATGCATCGCCATCTGCTGCAGTGTCTTTTATTATCCTACCACAGGAGTTGCTAAAGTCTATTTTTGAAATCCACTTACAAGCCTCCTAAGCCACGGACTGCCTTTCAAATGCCTTTAAAAGTAAAAACAGCTGCTACGATTGAGGAAGTGAGAACAAAAGGTGGATAAAACCATTATGGAACATGTTCCTGTATTTCTAATAATTGCCGTTTCCCATTGCACAGATACAAACCAGATACGACAAACTTCTGTAAACCAACAATAACAAAGAGCCTCGGGTATAAATAAGAGAACTGCATTTCTGGAAAACGTACCTGTAAGTCTTTAAGATAAGCAATTTCATTAGGTAGACATTCCAACTTGTTTTCCTCCAAGTCGAGCTCCCGTAGCTTTCTCAAATTCCCAATACCATGTGGCAACTTCTTGAGAAGATTATTTGACAATATTAACACCTGTGAGGAGTGAAGACAATAATGGTTTTTTTTTCCACAATAACAATCGGATTTAATGTAACAGTCTGGCATGATTACACATGCAATCACCCCTGACAAAGAATCATCACATCATTCTCGAAATATAGAGGAAACGTGTGGGATAATGGAGCAGCCGAACGGACAGAGGCAGCAGATGTGCCGTAGTTTTGTCCAGCGTCAACTCACACTTAAGTGTTTCAGCAGCTGAGCGTGTAGCCTACACGTTGTTGACTTGTTCAGATTTTGCTTACTTGTTCAGTTGTCCTTGATTTTTGTGCTTCTACTATTGTTAAGTAGCTACATAGTTAAATTGTCTCGACTGTTTTAATGGTGTTTATTGTTGATGTACGATAGGGTGTCTGGAAAAGGTGTTTTATTTTGAAAATCGACCGGATTCTCTATGCCCTTCTGTGTCTGACGTCCTGATTTTTAATATTTAATTACATAAACAATTAGATTTATATAATATGTAAGTATTATTAATATGAGATATTATTATTTTCCCCCAGGAGAAATTGTTATTAAGGAGGGGAATAAACTGAACTGTTTTGTCATCAACTCTCATTCATACGTATAAGTTTGAGTGAAAATGATGGAAAGAAATTGACACATCGCTCATGCAGTGTTATTAATAACTGAAATGCAGTTTATTGGTATAGTCCTGTAGGTCTATCAGCTCCTGTTGTTATGTTATTGTTTTACACCTGGCAATATTTTCTCAACACAGACAGAAGGAGGCAACAGGATGTAACGTTAAATGTTCAGTGACTGAAGGAGGACTACGTTCTTCCACAAAGGCCCTTTGAGAAAAGAAGATTTTGGAAGCTGGGTTCAGCGCAAAAGTTCAACTACTTTGACAGCGGCGTGCGCACGAGCTCACCGTGAGGTGCATGTTACTCGACGCAGCAACAAACCGCCGTAGCATCGCACAAGCCATTGACAATAATGGGCCTCATATGGCAGCGGTCCTGTTGTTGTAGTGCGTCGGAAAGGTTACACCTGCTTTGTTTGTTTGCGTTGCACTGAAAGCTCGACTCTCACCGCTATGGCATCGATTGTTAAGTGACAAGTTTATTTAACTCAGTTATTATGCATTACCTTTACTTGGGCGTGCAAAGCTGGGTGGTGATACCGCGGGTACTGCAGCGCTCCTTTAGCAGCAACCTTTTAACTGCAAGTTTTTGAACAGGTTATCAGTCACCTCCTAAATAACGCCCTGGTCAGTCTTGGTGTACCCGAAATTCTCCCACACTGCCGAGTTCAGCAGTTTCTTTGGTGAAAATAAAGCTTCACAGTTTGGTCCCTCTGCCATAGTTTAGCCAGTGTATAGTAGTAGCCTCCATGTCTCTGATAAGCACGGCCCTTTCAGCTGGTGTACCACTCGTGTAACTTTGTTTTGTGCAAGTTGCAACAGTTTTGTTCCGTGCAACAGAAACACTTGGTGTAGCGGAGCCTTTACCATTAATTAACCTAAAACAGTGCAACTGTGCCGGTGTCGGCGGCTGGTGGGGGGGTGGGCTCAGTAGTAGTGTATATCGTATTTGTATTGACAGTAAGTTATTGTAGGTAGTTTTCCACCTTAGTTTTGTGTTTATTTACTACTTTAATCTGCTCCTCTTCTCTTCTCCCCACGCTTACACACACCTAGCCCGCACCTCTGGTCTCTCACTGCAAACATGCCGGCTTGCTCCGCCTCTTTGTGTCTCTCTCCCTGTATGGGTCTCTGCTGACTTTCTCCATCAGCAGTACGTTTCATAAAGTCGCTGTGATTCAGTTTTCGAGTGCGCTGCATGTGGGTCGAAAACGAAACTAACGTTAGCGAGTGAAACCTGTACTCGTGCATTCACTCTTGCTCCATAGTGTAACATTTCCTGCGTGACTGTTAACGTAATAGCAGATAACATCTCTCTCTGTGTTTCTCTGCAAAATGCTCTGTGTGTGTGGCGAATGAGTGGGCGAGCGTATGAGAGAGTGTGTGGCAGAAAGTGACGGTGAAAGTTGGTTATTAGAAATATTAGCAGAAATATTAGCAGAAAGTTGTCAGTCTGGCAGTAAACATCCAGTGTAGTTCACAGTGCGACAGTTAATTAAAGTGTGTCATTTCACAACAGCTGGAAAGCGAAGGTTGTTAGCACTAGCTAACATCTCTGCTAGACAGCACGTGTTTTGGCTGCTATGTAACGCCAGCTAAATCAGAAACAAAGTAAACGTTAATGTTAGCTGTAGGTCATTACTACTTACTTGTCCGTGGTTGAGAACATCAGGTACAAGTCAAAGTGCTTTACAGCTCTGTCCTGTACATATACTGTACATCCTTATATACTAGTTAAATAATATTTCAGTTTAAGTAAATTAGCAAGTTGGTCCTTTTAAGCTAAGCACGAGATTTTTTTTTAGATATTAATGTTCAAATTAATGGCATAGTAATTATCCAGAAATCAAATAGAAAAAAAGATGCATCTATAATCGTTTTATAATCGCATCGCAGACCTCTGAATTATAATCGAGTGGAATTGTGAGGTGCCTACAGATTCCCACCCCTACACTGTGGTAAGGACACGTGGTGCACGATCTACCAGGTGAGCTACTCACCTCCAGAGAGACTAAACCGCAGACGTCCTCTGGGATCTTTGTCAGCTGATTGGTGGCAAGGTTAAGCTCGACCATGCTAGTCCATGTGCCAAAGTCCAGTGGCAGAGACGTTAACTGGTTGTCCTAAGGAAGACAAAAATCACACCTTCATTAGCAAAATAAGCGACCATTCAGAGGGCCAACACAAGGACAGTGCTGTTGAATAGGCCAAGTAGACGAGAGCACTATGCCAGCTCTGTTACCTGTCGACCAGATAAAATGTTTGTGACGATTTAAATCCAAACTGCATCCAGTATGGGGTTGGGGAAACCCTATGAATCAGAATCGAATCATGAGGTGCCTAGAGATTCCCACCCTTAATGCAGTACGGCCATACACCAAGTAACAAGTTAAGGATGTTTAATGCCTGTGCATGCCTGGCTTAAGGCCAATACAAACAATCAACAGGAGTGTCGTTCCGACCGCCTTAGTTCTGAACAACAGTTGACATAAATATGAGGAAATACGTGAACTAAAGTGACACACTGGCATTTAACAAACACCAGGATATGCAGCTACCTGTGTGCTCCCTGTAAATTCAAGATTTTATTTCAGGATTTCCTTCACTACTACTTCTCACTATGAAGGACATTCAGCTCACCTTCAAGAATAGATACTTAGCTTCTTTAAAATAATGAAAGATGCATCTATGGACCTTGTTCTTTTTATGTGTATATACCCAGCTGTGATTTCCATTAAGCTGCTTCAGCTTCAGGTTCCTAGTATTGTGCATTCGGCATCACAGTCACGGTTTGTTAGGACACTTGAATAGAACATTGTCATTGCTTCTGTTTTTAGTAACACCTGTGCTTTTCCTATTGTGACAAGTCAAAATGTCTGTTAAACAGGCCTATTAATGAACGAGACTAAATTAAGATGGTAGATATGATCATTTCCACATTGGTTAGAATTTTTCTTACAGTTTATCTCACACAGAAAACATACATACATACATACCTTCATGTTAAGCTTGCTTAAAACTTTGGCCCTGGAGAAGATACCAAAGGGGATCTTGTTGATGCGGTTGTGCTCCATGTTGAGGGAGTAGATGGTGGAGAACTGGGATGGTCCACCCACAGGATACGACTGGAAGCAGTTCCTTGCCAGTGTTAGACTGGTCAGGTTGACCAAACTCGACAGTAGGCCCTGGTCAACCACAGTATTAATGAATGAATGACATGTATTCATTTTAGAGCATAGCTACTAGTGTTGTAGTCAAAACCGCCCAAACCGAGACCAAGTTAAGACGAAGACCGAGGGAGGGCGAGACAGAGTCAAGACCAAGACCAGTTCCCCACATTACATGACACAATAAAATGTGGAACGAGATCATAGGTACTTCTCAAACTGATCTGAAAGATCCACTTTCCCTAAAACACCCACATACAAACACTGAAATCAACGTAAGCGTTTTTTTTTTCAACACTCCTCTTCCATGCTTACCATCACAGGTAGGGGGGACAGTCATTAACAGTAACAACACATTTTTAATTAGGGTTATTGGTTGCATTTAAAGCAATACGTTTTACATCCAATCAAAGTCAGGATGTTGAAATAAAACGTCTCAACGTCTGAGACCGAGAAAAGACTGAGTACAAATGTGGTCGAGTCCGAGACGAGACCAAGACCTTCAAAAAGTGGTCTTAAGACTGGTCTCGAGTACTACAACGCTAATAGATACAGAGGGCTTGAGGCTAAATTATGAATTTACTGTTACCGTAACTGAAATTATCCAGTCAATTTTATACGGTCTTATTGCTTCAAGTCACCAAAGCATATTCCTTGTATGTGTAAAAATACTTGGCAATAAACTTACCTCTGGCAACACTGAAATGTTGTTGTTTTCAAGGTTTAGCTCCTCCAGTTCTCGACATCTGGCTAGTGACCTGGGGATGGCTGACAATCGGTTGTATCTCAGACCTAAGCGATTTATGCTAGCCAGATTGCCTAAAACAACAAAAGAAAAACACATCTAAATTAAACTTGTTTTTGCACCTTTACAAAATGTATGAAATCGCCAACTGGTAAAATAAAACAAAAAGCATATATTGAATATTAACAAAGACATAATAAACTTTGCTTTTGAGTCCTAATGCTTAAATTACCTATAGTCTCTGGGAGGTCCAGGAGCTCATTGTGCTGCAAGTCAAGGTTGGTTATCTGTGTGCAATTCCCAATCTCCTTCGGTAGGTGTTCCAGCTGGTTATGGGCAACATCCAGAGTTATGAGGTTGCATAGCTCCCCTGCAGAAAGATGCACACACAATTCTGATATTTAGCTAACTCAAAATGAAAGTGCATTAAGTAACCCAACCACTGAAGACACCCACTCATTTATCTCATTCCCTCCTTAAAGAATCAGAAGGGCATTGGTGCAAAGCCCAGGACAATTTACCAAGTTTTATAGCCAGATCTCTATTTTACAGTAAAATTAAGACACACAAGATACATTATGCGCACTAGGGCTGCAGCTAACGATGATTTTAGTATTCAAAGCTTCTATAGATTATTTTAACGATTCATCGATGCTTCGTATAAGAAGTACTTTTGCTTGGTGGCGGCGGTGTGGCGTTCACACTATGTGACTGATCGGTGACAGGGGGTCACGCACACACTACAGGAGCTGACAGCAGCTGTGTCACCCAACGCTGGTCTCCAAACGTTTTGTCAAGTTATGAGCGATCCTGTACACAAAACAGCTGTTTGTTATTATAAACATGACAGTTATAAAGACAAAGACTATGGGTGAAAGGATGGATTACCTGCTACATGCAGGTAGCAGGGATTGTCTGAGTTACAGAAAGAACTGGAGGTGAGTAAAAAGGTGCAGCTTCCCGACACCCAGTTAACTCATGACTGTGAGGTTACAACCCACGGCCCAAAAAGGAGAAAAACAAACACACGTGTGCACATTTTCATCCGAGTACTGCGGCTTACTTTGGCTAGCCTTCAACTCAACAATCAATCATGATTTCAGTTAAATGCTAAAGTTACCAGAGGTGGGACCAAGTCATCGTCTAGTCAAGTCTATAGTCACCGAGTCAAGTCTATAGTCTTAGCACTCAAGTCCCAAGTCGAGTACCAGACCGATCATGAATTTCAAGTCAAGGACCAACAAGTCCAAGTCAAGTCCAAGTCTTAATCATTGAGTTTTCGAGTCCTAAACAAGTCTTAATGCGCTCTTCACCAAATCTAAAAATAATTTCAAAAGTTTTTTCCAAGTTAAAAATAAAACAATGTATTGAATGAAGCATTAGCCTGTACAGAAAGAAGGCAGAGGTGCAGTTTCACACAACAAATGTTCTATAATTTCATGAATTAAATAAATGTTCATGTTCTAATTATTTTGGTCAATATTGAGATCATAATTATTTAACAGGATTACCTTTGCCTTAGGAAACAATAAATATTGAAATGTCATACTTTCTTTTTAAAAACTAGGGTACAATATATGCATTACTCAAAAATCCCAAATAGCCCATAAAATAAAAAACAATAATCCAACATTATTAACTTTAAGCAGCATCTAGTGTGCAAGAGGATGACAGCAGCACAGTTTCCCCCCAAGTTGACAGCTTTGGGTGACGGATGGGTCGTGTGTGTGTGTGTGATTGTGTGTGTGTGATTGTGTGTGTGTGTGTGTACACGGACGAGAGCAGAGCAGGTGACGGGAGATGCAGTGACAGAAACCAGCAGTGAGAAAACTATAAATCGCTATGACGTTAGAAGACGCAGACACAGTGGATATTTTACAAGAACCGATCAGGTAAACCAACACTGAACACACCACTTAGGGAGGGACGAGAGCCTCAGCTGTAAAGGAAAGGGGTGCGCTGGATTTATAAAACAAAACACCCGGCCCCGGCCCCATTATCGTTTTATCTTAATTAACTTTTTTTTATAATTGGTGGAAGCAGCTTCATGCAACAGCTGCAGCAGTCTCTCTAAAACTGTTTCGACCTGACCTTTCTTAGTGGAGGAATTCAGAAAATTGCGTGGTGCTCCGTCAGGGCCCCAGCTGTTGTGCATGGATTAGCCTATGCGTAAAATTCCTCCAGCCAGAGGGAACAATCACGAACCGTTCACAGCGGGCTGGTAGTAGGCCTACTACACAACCCAGTGTAGGTACTGGAGAGGGAATGGGTCGCTGGGGCGTACAGGGCCAGGAACAGGAGATCGCAGAATGGCCGGGTGCATTTCGGACGGTCGGTGAATGTTCCCTCTTGCTGGAGGAAGCCACACGCTCCAGTCTAATTGAGCATGGCGCTATGTTGATGCGCTGCGCAGTTTTTTATATCATAATTTATATTCGGGCATGGGGAGTGTCAAGTCAGCTCGAGTCAAAAGGCAAAGTGAAGTCATGAGTCATTGCTGTTCAAGTCAAAGTCGAGTCGCAAGTCTTCTTTGATTTTGTCAAGTCGAGTCTAAAGTCATCATTTTTGTGACTCGAGTCTGACTCGAGTCCACGTCATGTGACTCGAGTCCACACCTCTGAAAGTTACTGTTACCTTGTCTGTGGTCAGCTGGCAGAACACCGGCTGCTTTTTGTTCAGGTGCCGTCGTGCTGTTGCCAAGGCGACATGATTTCCGTTTTACGATGGACGTATGGTAACATTACAGGTTTGTTGTTTTCTTTAGCTTGAAATAATCCCATACTTTGGACACTTTCTGCTTTGTCCCTTGCCATGTTCTTTCTCTTTCTCCACTTTGCAAACAGATCCATTATAATCACGTCATGTTCATAGCGTAAGCGCAATGTGCGACAATAATAAATGTCTGTGCGAAACACTGGGCTGTATAGTTATATGGATTATACTAAGTATTTATTAATTGATTTTTTTTTAAATCAATGGGGTGAAAACTTGAATCGTTTCAGCCCTAATACGCACACAAGATGACCTGCTCTCTGAATGGAAATTTAACCTTAGCTAAATGCTACAACCCCAATAGAAACTACTAATACTTTCCACAATTTTATGATTTACTGTGGCCACTAGGCAAAAAGGTTGGCTTCTTTCCCTGTCTAAATTTGAGGAAAGGGTCCTGTCTTTATACAAAGGATTTGCTCACCTATCTCTGCAGGCAGCTGTTTAATCTTGTTCTCACGAATGCTGAGCATAGTGAGCTTGGATAGGTTTCGGATTTCCTTCTCCACTGTTGTGATACGGTTGAACCGCAGGTACAGCGTGGTCAGAGACGTCAGCCGGTAGACAACAGCAGGTATCTCTCTCAGCTTGTTGTGCCGGAGGTCGAGCATTCGAAGCTTCTTAAGGGAGTCCAGGGAGTCAGGCAAACTAGTCAGGGAGTTCTCGCTCAGGGCCAAAGTGACCAGGCCTGATAGGCAACCTACCTCCGCTGGCAGACTCTGCAGCTTGTTGCTGTATAAGTAGAGTTCAGCCAGCTGCGTCAACTCCTTAATCGAGGTGGGCAGCATGTGAATGGACCGTTTAGATAAGTCCAGTCTCATTGAGTTTTCCTCTCGGCACTTGTTGAGCTCTTTGATCACCTCGGCATTGCTGGACTTCTTGCGTGTACCTGGTGCCGGGTTTGGCCGCTTTATTGTATTGTCAACAGAGAAGGCAACACCTGGTGTTGAGCTGCTGGTGTCCTTCTTTCCTTCTTTGGCATCTTTCCCTTTGGTCTTTGTTTCTTTGCCACCATCTTTGACTAAGCTGGCTAGAGCCTTGGCCTCCTTTTCCCTTTCTTTCCCCGCTGGACCACCTTTGGGGTCCTTTTCTTTCGAATCTTTTTCTTTGCCTAAAGTACTACTCATGTTGACGTAAACGTGTCTCCTCCTCCGGAGTTGCTCATGGGAGTCTCTTGTCGGGTTACTTATTCGGGAAAAAAGGGACACAGACAACCAAGGAGGCTTTTAAAGAAAACATCCCTGTGCAGGACACATTTATGATTGTCCTTGAAATAAAGGACTTGTGATCCAAAGTTTTTTTTGGATACTTTTGATAATTTGTTAAAATGCCATGGGAGAAAAAATCCTTTGAAGTAGCTGGATTGTGGCACCCACGGGCCACATGCTCAAGTGTCTGAACTGCATACAATCCCAGGACCTTTGGATACAAGTTCTTTCAGGCTGCAAAGGTCATCAAGGTTTTTAATCCATTGAAGTGTTGCTGTTGGGAAAAAGAAGAATTAGTTTTGTTCACATTTACAATTTCATTTGACACTTTCCAAACATTGTAATCATTTTGAATTTTAACAGTTGAGTGGCCTTACTGAAAAGGTTTCTGGTCTTTGTATTTGTCACTTGTTTCTATAGTATTAGACACAAATTACAGAAAGAAATAAAATGATCTGATGAGCCGAAAAGAACACAAGGAACGAAACTAATTTTCATCTGGATGTCCTGCATCCAAAATATGTTGTGTTTCCTACACTGCTCACCACAATTTACAGTAAACATAAGACTTCTAGTGGCAAACACAGATCAGAATATGCTTCCACTTCCACTGAAAGTGATGAGGAATTTGATAGTAAAGGAATAAGCCATCCATACCGATTCCCTTAAATAAACAAGAAAAATAAAATAAAATGAAATGTATGAAAATATTGAATCCTATATAAACTAGATGTTTTGATTTTGGTCTCCAATGCCATCATACTCGGACCAATCTGACCAACTAAGCAAATGGAAGTAATTTGTGATTTCTTTAAATTCGCGAACTTCAGATTGATGAGATTTTTTGTGACAATGATGTCATTTAATGTGTTTGTAGTAAACAGTTAACCGCACAAATATTTTTACAGTGTGCCAGCCTCCTCCTTGTTTTGGGCACTTGATGGTGATTAGTTAATATTTGATTTTTTTTTGCTAGATCGAATGCATATCGTCTTGGAAACATTCACCTGTGTCTTTGTTATTTAGGTGGCATCTATAATGCATAGATTTGACACTGCCAGAAATATTATATGAATAACGTGACCTAGTGACAATGAGCATGACCATCTACCATCATCATAACAAGGGACTTAACAAGCTCGTCCACAGGATCGGAATCGGAATCTAAACATTGTTTGATGAACAGTACTGGCTACGTTAAGCCAAGTAATTTCCGATCCGGTGTTTGCTCAGGCGGGCAGCATTCAAAACTTCCCTGCTTCACTCTGTTAAAAAAAAATGATAGCACACATTTTTTACGATTAGTGAGTGAAATCCAACTCCAATCAGCAGTTTGAAATTCTTCAGACTGACAACCTGCCGCAGCAAGCAATTTCACATTTTGCAGGTGAACCACACCCTTTAAAGAACTGCTGTCGTTGAAAACTTTTTCATGCCGAAAAGAAAAACAGCCTACAAGAGGGCTTGTCCAACTCCACACTGACAATCCTCTATCCATAGATATTATGCATAATACTAAAAACTACCTTATACATGAGACACTTCAACAGGTTTGGTGGGTTGTCAGTACCATTTGAAATGTGGTATTATTGAGTGTGTTGTGTCATACCACAGAAATCTGCTGAAAGTACTAAGCAATACCTCACACAAACTTACTCCTACTAAACAAACATCGCCCCATGGGTATTGACATTACTGTAAGCCTACAGCCCCACCTAAACATGCATTCAGCTATTTAGACATCCCCTATGAAGTCTGTAATGCAACAATCACATTGAATATTTACGTCTCAAAGACATCCAGACATTACAGACAACCCTTTGGATTTTTACATAACAAACTGAGCCAGAATGTCTCTGGCGGCCTGTCTCTGTTTAGTCTCTGTAACTGCTGTACCTCTGTGGCTGTGTAAAGCTTTCCTGCACTACAAGCTAAGCCGTGGCAAAAAGAGAGACTGGTTTGGCTCAGGATCAGAGCTAAGTGAAAAGGTTAGGACTGCTGAGAGTAATCTTTAGAAGCGGCCTTCAAAGCACGAAGCCCCCACAACAACAGGTCATATGACCTTTTGGGTAAAAGAAACGTTGGGTCAATAGCAGCACCCCTTGCATGACAGAATGCTTGACAGTGTGTTCTGTAAATAAATAAATAAAAAAGAAAGGTATCCACTGCTCTTTCAGCCTGTCATAAACAAAGGGGTGAACATCTAACATTGGTGGGCATACCTGTGTGCAAAATAATGATTAACATATAATGAGAACAGCCAGGCCAGACCAATTGCTGGGGCCATCTAAACTAAACTGTGCAAGCAACTTCCTTTTATGGTTGTAACTTGTACTCACTATGTCCCTGCCCTGGTACATCATTCTGTTTATAACAAACTGCATGTAAACGTTATCAGTGTAAAAACTGAATGGGACAAGAATAAAAGTTTAACATCCAACTGATCATATCAATACTGTCATTCATGTAATGAATGTCATGAAACAAAAATATTGACCAAACCAAACATACTCTTAGTTGCATCTTTCAAATGTATGCAGAGGTTTCTGCAAAACAGCACAGCATTCAGATGACTAAAACTCTGACTTCAAAAGATGGAAAAGAAGACGAGAAAATAATGAAAAACAGCTACAACCCTTAGCAGTATCCAAAACGACAGAATCACTTGGTGGCCATACAATTAAATGTGTTGTGATCAGAAAACTGCAATATTAATGGATGCTCTGTATCTGTTGTTACAGCCTTTACACTGGCCTATACAGGTGGTGGCTAGTTTGCCAAAATCACTGGATGTAAATTCAGCAGGAAAGTGATCCATCTGTGAAAAAACTTGTAAGCACTTTGTGACTTCCATGAAGTTAGGACTACTCATTAAGTAGATGAAGTGAGGTTCAACTACAGCTTCGTTGAAAAGCTAATGCATTTCCATCAACACTAACCCAATACCACCATAAACACACTTGGACTTCATGGCACTTGCAACCCTCATATAGACTAATGAAGTTTCCATTAAGGATATCTTGGGCCCATCTGATAATGCCAGTGCATTTAGGCCTTAGCAAAACTGTCAACAGTTCTTGTTTATGCACTTTGATCAAATAAAGAAATGCATCAATGTCAGCTAATCAGAGCATACAATAAATCACGCGTGTAAAGCAAACTGAAGTGCTACGATATGGCAAAACGCACTACGGAGTCAGGAAATATCTAAAAACCCTTCTCCTGTGTTGACAGTAACGTTATGCTACCACCCAAGTCCAATAAATAGCCTGACAGTTTGAGTAGTTAACGTTATATGTAATGGGGAGGTGGGAGCAAAACAGGGGTGAGGTGGCAGCTATCAGCTATTCCATAGGACACGGCTAGCTAGATGGCTAACGTTACGTGTTCCAATGACAAATCCTTTAAAACAGATTACCGACAAAACGGTACCAGGTCGGGAAGTCAAGTCGCCGTTCGGGATTAACGTTGATGAATTTACATAATATTAACACCTAGGGATATCATACCAGGGTGTGTGCCTCTGTGTGATCGTTGGTGTGACAGTCATCCCTTGGCGCGGACAGTAAAAATGCGTTACATTTGGACTGTTAACCTAACATCAACAAGCTAACTAATTGTCGTTAGCCAACTCACGGAGGCTGAAAATCCCTAATGTTAGCTAAAGCCAGCCTTACAACACAGCTACAATACACATCTCTAGCGACAGATCTTCAAAAAGGAGAAAAAATACACTGGAAAAGCCTACAAAACGTCTGACAACAAGGCAGGAAATAAAAGCAGCTAAGCTAAACGTCTATAGCAAACGTCAGTTATGCCAGGCTGCTGCTAACTTGCTATCATCAGCTAGCGAGCAAGTTAGCCCACCAGCTAGCACTGTTTTAGCGAGCGATCCTCTTGAGTGAAAGGAGGAATAGTAACATCACAGATTAAATAATAAAATGAGGGTCTGCTGGTGCGTGTATTAGACGGCGCGAATGGTGTCGACGTTTCTCCTGACATATACTCACATTCAGCTGCTAGCTTTATGTGAAGCAGAGGTAACGTTAACTGTGTGTGTGTGTGTGTGTGTGTGTAGGCCCGAGCAGAGCGGCTGTCGGACCGACCCATTCCTCCGTGAGTCCGACCGAGGGGAAACCTCTGCAGCAGCCAGCTGAGCGCAGTCGTGCAGCAGACACCCAGAGAGAACAGCCGGGGGGAGGGCAGCGGATATCCCAGCAGAGCGGCCACTGAAGGCACACAAGGTGCGGACTAACTGTAACACAGCATCCAAGCGCCGTCCCCGTATTGAATATTAGTCGAGAGGAAAAAAGGAAAACACTGAAAAACAGCGGCCATTCCGAAGCTGAACAAAAGAGTGCGTTCGTACTCACCACCGCAAAATGACATGTTAACGCTATACACGCCACAACAAGAGACTGACGAGTGTTTTATATGTGGAGTGATGCGTAACTGTGTTGTGTGGGGTGAAACGTCCACTGTTAATGTGATAATATAACTGTTTTACCTTCAGAGGTGTGACTCCGCCATCCTCGCTGCTTCCTCCTCTATTCCTACACTGCTGCTCTGCTCCCCTCCCTCCGTTGCCACCAAACTGCGTCATACGCACGCCTAACCACTGTTATCACGAGACTTTGAAACACAATCAAATATTCCTGGATAAACATTGGCTTTATTTACATGTATAGCTTGTTTTGTTTCAGTTATAATAATAATAATAATAATAATATAATAATAATAATAATAATAATAATAATAATAATACATTACAAATAAAAGTGAGGCATATAAAGAATTGTCTTCTCTGCTTAATTTGTGTTTGCTGTGATTTCCCCCATGAAACTTCAATTACCTTGTTTAAACGTCTTACATCTACCCTAACCTCATTGAAAAATCCAGAAAATGTAAGTATGCAAATGCTAACCTTGGACACAAGATGTCTCCCACTTCACTGAAAAGTCGAGTTTCTGTATGTGAGCTGGGCAGATCAAGTTTCCTCATCACACTTCGGTAAATTTAATATTTCACCACAATTGGCTTTCAAACTTGCTGTGATTTCACAAAATCATGCTTGTACCTTTACACCTTAATGTCAGATTTTAAGATGAAAATAGTGAAACCTTCCTTGAACCTTCCAGCCTTGTAATGTCTCTGTAACTCTGTAGGTCATTCTGCACAGTGAAGCTCAAAAAAGTAAGGAAGGCATCTTTTTGAGTGGAGCGGGATTTAAGTAAAAGTGCAATCGCCTTGGGAGCAAAATTATACTTCAAGTATCAAACGTAAAAGTACAAATTGTGCAGAATGGTCCCTTTTAGAGGTTAATATTATTATATATCATATAGGTGGATTATTTTTATTAATGCTTTAACATATAAGGAGCATTTTCATTCCACAGCCAGTGGATCTGAAGGAAATGTTAACTAGTTATTATGGTGTTGGGGATTGCATCTAAAACAATTAATCATATGTATTGTACATATGTTATTCTTTAATGTAACTATTACATTTAGCTGTCAAATAAATGTACAGGAGTCAACAGTACAAAAATATCCTCTTAAATGAAATGGAGTATTAGTTTAAAGTAGCATAAAGTGATGAAAGTGTAAGGACAGTACTTGAGTAACTGTACTTACTTTCTACCACTGAATGATGTACAGTACAATAACACATTTTTGTTGTATCATATTCAGGTCAAAACCATATTACTACAACAATTATGCAAAACTCTTAATTAAAACTTAACAACCTTCCACTTATAACACCTGCAACATTTTCTTTTTAACCTTTATTTATTAAGGGGAGTTTTATTAAGAGGAAGCCTATCTTTTGCAGGAAGACCCTGATCACATTCACAGTTGGAAGCTCCCCAGTACAACCACAGTCTGATCTGCTGGCCACTGAGCACCTCAGTGGTGGAAAATGAGGGAGGGCAAGCGCTGCATGTTGATGTCAGTAAATCACTATGGCTGAGAAATAACGCGAAGAAGAAGAAGGTCACATGATTCTGCCGGAAGTGTTGTCTTGACAACCACTGTAATCTCGTCCTGGCGCTAAAGGTGGGATTAGCTATTTTGTAAACAGTGGTTTTAATTTAACATGTTCACACAAAGGAAATATACTGCATTGTATTATCAACACCAGTAACCAGTATTTCACAGGTAGTTCGCAAAAAGAAAGCTGCCATTACTTTAGCTGGGTCTGTGTCGTTTAGTTACGCGCTAAAGCTAGCGAGCTAACTAGCTATTTTAAGATAACGTTACGGGTTCCGATTTCTCCTCCCAATCTTAATATTAGCCCAACAACCCAGTCAGTCATTTTGCTTTAATGTTAATGGAAATATATTCGTACATTAACTAAATAACATTAACGCTAAATCAATCCCATAGAAACGTGAAAATTCAACATATTGCACCAGCTACCTACATTTTGCAAAAAACGTTAATGTTATAACGTTACCACTGTTGCTAATTATTTTTGTTTGTATGATTATTTTATATATTATTTGTTTGTTTGATGTCATCAGTGTATGAGTTCAACTGTATTAATGTTACTGTAACTGAGATATACCGATCTGTAACTACCTTATGTTGCCCGGCTACAAAACTAATATAAAATTTCCCTTCTGTGTTACTGAACCTACAACATTATCACAGTATGCTAAAGGTCAAACTAAACTTGTGCCACAACCCTGGCCTGAATGCAACCTCTCTCATTACTGTCTTATTACAGTCATGAGTCAGGTCATTCATTCATTATCAAGTGACAAATATCTAGCAACATTAGCAGCTATCAATCAAAAATAAATAAATCTTAGTTTCTCTTTTTTGAACAGAGCTGCTTAGATTCACAGAACTACCCGTGTTACGTTGGTTTCACGAATCTGTCAGATAAAATATGTTAAATGTAATAAACTAATATGTTTGCCTTTCAGCAAGCACTCAGAAGACACAATGCCAGAAGTGAAGTCAATATTCAGAGAAGTTCTGCCTAAACAAGGTTTGTACCACAGCAGCTATTTGGACAGCAGTAGTTACAAACAAAAGACTGTTTGTGGAGCTCAATACAACATGTGAACTGTTGTAGAAATTTGCAAAAGCTTGCAAAATGAGTCAAAGGGTGCTCTGTGCTGTGTGCTCCCTCTTTACAGTCTATTTTACAGGTCAACACTATTGACATTGTTGCTGTACAAACAGTTATAACTGTCATTTGGGTCTGTACTATAGCTGGGCAAACTGCTTAGGAGCAGAGCACCACATGTGTAAAATGTCCAGATTATTCATGCATGAGAGGGGGGAAAAAAACAAGATATCATCAGTGCAACACAAATGAAACATTGGCTAGCAATTCAATAAGTCACCTCAGAGCCTACAGACATAAGGAGCCTGTCAAATTAACATTGCCCCTCCCCCTTTAAAATCCTGGAGGTTGCAGGCTACTAGACTGACAGAATTCAGAAATATTGGCAATGCACTCACAGTTGCAGTATTTTATTTAAAAGTTAGAATATTTCTCACTGCTCATGTGCTAGAGGCTTTTGTGTATTTTCATTAGCTGATGAAATGTGTGACTATATGTTGGAGTTGAGAGATTTTTCCCCTCTTCATCCACAGGGCAACTTTCCATGGAAGATGTCCCTACCATGGTTCTGTGCAAGCCAAAGCTGCTCCCACTCAAATCAGTCACCCTAGAGAAACTGGAGAAGATGCAGATGGAGGCTCAGGAGGCCGTCAAACAGCAGGAACTGGCAATGAAGGAGCAGTTGCAATAGGCGTCCAATGATGAGTCAGCAGCAGGAATAGTCAAAACTAGCAGAAAATCCTTTCAGATGGATGGCACAAACTGTGTTTTCAAGCTCTGGTAGAATAAGTAATTGTGTGAACAGTTAAGTGCAATGTCAAGAAGTTAAAGATGTTTAGCTTCATAGAGCAGATAAGGAAGCTGGAGGAGAGAGTCACCTGATGCAAAAGTCTTGCTGTTATCTAGTCATTGATGAATTACCTACTACATGTTATTTGTAAGGATTACACCTATTGCCTGCTCTTCCAGTGTGGTTGGCTACTAAGATCTGTGTACTTCTTCAGACTACTTGTAATATTGCATCTGTAATTTTTCATTAATACGCAAGAAAATGGCAGTTAACAGCTTCCTTTATGAGTGAATTTAGGGCTGAGAAATTCATGTCAGGTCAAAGAGTTTAACATGTAGGTAGTATTGTGTGTTAAAACACACATACGCACACAAACAGTCTTGGATTATTTAAGTGATTTAATGAACAAACAAGGTGCAATACATGGTACATCTCACACACCAGTATTCCCCAGATATAAAAATAAACACTCTAAACACCAGTTTTGAAGTTACACGACTGGTATTTGTTTTTGCACTGTACTCAAGTCTTGATACCTTCAATAATGACATCTTTGTGTAATTTAAAAGGGTAAAAAAATCAAACAAACAAACAAACAAAAAAGGTCAAACACAGCATAGAAACAGCAGCTAGTTAGGGAGGCAATATTGCATTTAACCAACATGCTCCCCTTTATTTTATTTTTTATACCCCTTTATAAAGCTGACACAAACCAGTCATCTCTGTACAAACACTGCTTTCTAGAAAACACAAAAAGGACTGGCAGTAAAATCAAGGAAAATACTGTACAACATGGAATGGCAGAAACAGAGGTGTGGCACTTTAAGGATTACCTTATGCAAATATTTATATTGAAGAAAATTATCAACTTCAGTTTCAATCATAAGTGCAGTCAAATGTGTTTGCTTTTTTAACCCCACCTCATTTCAGAAATGTACATTCTTTTGACTTGTTTTTTTTTGGGGGGGGTTGTACCCAACTATTTTGAAAAATATGCAAGTAAAAAAGTAGCTTTATCCTCTTCAGGAAATCTGGCACATAAAAAGGGCTCCTCAGTAGCTTTCAAGTTTGACAACACCACCATCTCCCTCGCTGACAAATCTCTTCCGGCCCCTGACAAAAGACAGAACAAATTAACAAACCGTAATAACACATTTCCCTTCAGACATGAGTGTAAGGTGTGTGTGTAAGAAAACCAGTAGCGTGCCCTTACCGACAGGGACAAAGATCTCTTAACTTTACATCGATGATTCCCATAGTGAAGCTCTTATCAACAAACTGCTCCAGGATGAAGTATGCACGCGGGACATCAATGTTGATTTCAGCAATGTCCAAATAAACTCTTTCATAGCCCTATAAAGGGGGGGGAAAAAGACACACTGTATATAAAAACAGCATATTTTATAAGGCTTGCAAGCAAATAAGCTGGTGCCCTATTGAAACTATGTGTGCAGTGCATAACTGAAACACCAGGTGGCCCCATACCCTTCTCATTTGGTCCACAGTGCTGACTGAGGACACAGAGAGCGACTTCAGTAGCTGCAGAACCATTTTGAATGTTTTCTGTCCTTTGGACTCCAACACCATCACTATCGCCTGAGGGAAACATCAGACACTTCAGCCTTCTATTAATACTCAAAACCTTTGCTACAGTCTACTAGAAGCACTTATTGCAGTACATAAGATCCAGTTATTTTAGTTACAACTAAGAGGTCTTTACACTCCTCAATAGGAGGTACAAATAAAAATATACAGACTTTAAATCAAGACAAAATGTTTGTAATTAGATGATTATCATCTGCTGGCACAATACCGTTCAGTAAAGATCAATTAATATTTCTTTCTCAGTTTGAGGAGTTTTTTCCACCAGTTCGGCTTCTGATAGACCTGCTTTTGTGATGATTTAAAGGAAAGCCTGGGCTGTTCTGCTTCAAGTGGAAGAAAAAAGGTTTACCTCATAGACAAACTCGTGGTGGAAATGGGGAACCTCCAGATCCTTCAGGCATCTCTCAGCCTCCTTGCAGTCTCCAGACAGGATGTACTCTTTCAGCAGCAGGTTCATCTGACAGGACAGAGAATAGTAAATGACAATTTTTTATATGCGGCATTTTTTTTCCAGATACAAGGAGTTACAGAGATACAGAAATCAAGGATCATTTATTTGTCTACTACACTGCTGCACAATGAAATTGGAAAACAGAATAAAACTAAAACAATATATACAGTCATTTAAATACACAAGTATAATTGTGCAAAACCAGCATCACAGAAAGCTTCAATTCATTTATCTATGATGGAGTGCGGAGGATGAGTTGGAGTAGACAAGTCTCACTTAGCAGTAATTGTTTTCACTTAGTTTCTCCACTCATTAAATTAGGTTATTCCATTGTCATACGTCTGTATATCAACACAGTAAAAACATGTTTATATAGTAACATTCAGGTTTTCCTGGTCTGACAGAAAATTGTAACAATTGAAGAAAATGCTTCTACTGAATTTTGGTCAGAAAAGGTAAAATGAACCACAACAAAGACTAACAGACTACTGTACTGCCGGTGTCTTCTGAAGTCTGCTTTGTGTAATTTACCTCTTTGATGAGCTGCTTGACAGGTCTCTGGCCCCCGCCTGTCCCCCATTGGTTTTCAATGCGTAGGCCACCCATACTCATCTTCAGCAGCACCGTCGCCCGGTCTAGTGCTGCCCTGGAAAATCAAAAAATAGCCAAGGTTTGTGGGACAAAGTAGTCATACTGCAACACTAACTTTCATCCCTACATTCATTACGGGCTCTTCTCCCCAAGACAGAGAACCCTTTTACCAAGGGTCGCTTGAATAACCTTTGTTAATCATCTTTAATACATTTCTATTCTCGTTTACATGCATGAACACAAACTTCAGAAAGTTCAGATTCTCCTCTCCCTCTCTCACCTTCCTGACCACTCCGTTTGCCATAATTAATGATAGGACTTCTGTATAGGGCTGCAACTAATGATTATTTTGTAGTCAACTAATCTGTTAATTATTTATTCGATCAGTCGCTAGTCTCAACATGTTTGTGACCCCCTAACCCTAATTAAACCATTTAACTAATTAATATCTTTCAAGTGAATTACTGATCTCAAACACACAGACTAACTTGCTAACGTTACCATTAAGTGAATAAGGTTTACTATTCAGAATGAACACCAGTATCAACCCTGGGGGGAAACCAGAGAAGAAGACAAGACAGTATAGGCTACTCCTATAAGTCACTGATTTACTATTGTCCTTAACGTGTTTGCTAACCCAACTAAAAGAGCATTGTCTTAGCCAGCATCATCCCTGAGACCTCAAAACCAAGAATGCAAAGAACTATGGAGAGGCTGCTCCAAGATAACAGCCAGGCTTTATCACCCAAAACAATAAGCTCATAATCTGATTTATTGCCAAGTAGGTTTTAGCTTAAAACTTTTAACTTAAACAAAGATTTTTGCTTTGGAACTATAGAATATAAAAGCAAATTAAAAGTAAGTACTATAATCACAACTGTGCACTAATAATCTAATGTCTATTTACAATAATAACGCAACAGTCCCCTTTCATACTATTTCTGTAGTTTGTTTTTATAAAGTGCCTACAAGTGGAGAATGTTCTGTACATCACGAGCCAGATGTGTCTTGTACTTTAAACCATTTCTCAGATTGTAAAGACAGAATAACAGCGGTACGAACATTGAAACTATCTTGCAGATGTGGCCTTTTCTCTGTCTCTGCTGCTCTGTTGTTGCAGCTGCTGCAGTGGTCTATGTAACTGGGACTCTGTAGGCGTGACTGGCACAGCTAACCTCGCAGGCACTTGTGGAGCTTCGCAACCCCAAAAACGTTGGAGCACATTTTCGATTCGCCATCAAGTTTCGTAAAACTGCCAATATTCAAGTTCTACACAGTTGATTTCTTGGCTCAAAACTTCAATAAACCGTTCTGCTTTTAGCCTCTTTCTCAATTGCTTTCCGCTTCGAGTGCATGTTTTTTCTTCGTAGTCTTACAGTCAAGCAGTCATGGCAGACAGTGGAAGCGATACTGCCCCCTAGCATTCCATGTAGGACATGGCAGTTAGAAAAATAACAACCAGAAATGATTTTAATAAGAAGATCGCTATCTCTGTAATGACGCGTCGACAGCTTTTTATAATTACATCGACTAATTGCTGCAGCCCTACTTCTGTATGATTTTATGGCTGAACACTCGTTTCATATTTAGCGGTCACTATAATCTCACTTGCAAAACTTAAAGCCCTGACATAATCTCTGAAGATTTACATAACAGCATAAAACAGGAAACTAAAAATCACATACCTTGCGTATTCACAGTCAACTCTGCCTTTGTAGCCCTCGATGTAGCTCCTGGACAATATTTGGTCACTAACAGCACGTGCAATGAATTGGCCCACCAACTGGAAAATAAACACAAGTGTAAACAAACCAAATGTTTTTCTGTGTATGCATTATAAAGCAGTCCTCCCTTGTTTAATGTAAGGAAGTCAAAAAGGTGACAGATGTAGTTTGTAACCAGCCGTAAAAGGCCTCGTGTTTACAAATGACTGACATTCAAAACATTGCTTTTTTCCCCTGCAAGGACATTTCAAGAATGCCGTGAAGAATGATGATTTGATTGTTTAGAAAGGACGCTGTCATTTGTATGGTTCACTATTTTAATTTTTTTTAAATCTGGGAATTCATTTGGATTTTTTATATAAAAAAAAACAAAAAAACCCAAACATATTTAGGCCCCACAAAAACACTGACATGTGACTGACAGCAGCCTCAGAGACACTTGTACATGTGTGTTTGTTTACAGTAGTGTGCGCACATGATTTAAGGAAACGAAAGAGCTGCTGGCTTTGCTCTTCTGGCCTCCACAAAGCCTGCGCTCATCAATGATCATTGTTTCTGTTTCAGAGGCAGCTCTGTCTCATCTGACCCGTGGCTCTGACTAGACTGGCAGCCACATGAGGGGGGGGGGGGGGGGGAGTGTGTGTGTGTGAAACTGAGAAAAGAGAGGGGTGAAAGGAATAGAGTGAAAGGAGGGGGTTTGGGGGCAGGACAACCAATAACCCTTTGAGCGTCCTTAGCTGAGTTTGCATTTTGCGAGTGCAGACAGACAAAGGCCAGAGATCTCATGTCTGTGCAGGGTGAAAAGGAAAGAGCTCAAATACACACACTAGCTCTCTCTCTCACTCACACTCACATCCCCTGTGCTCAACCACAGACTATGTAAAAACATACCACCCCAACGGAAGCATACACGAGGCTGATGAGTCTCAACATTAAAATACCCTAAAATATAAATAAGAAGAAAGAAATATGACATGGATTTAATGTAGCTCAAGGGGCCTTGCTGTTTGAATTAAATATGGAAATTTGTCTACCAGAGCAACTGACCTCTAACAATCATACTTTGGATTTTTAAGTGAATACTCATCCTGATTTCACTACAATTTTAAGGTAATTTTAAGATTTACATACAGCACTATGACATCCAATGACTACTTGAGCTACAGGTGTACACACACGTATCTCAGAAGACTCACCTGTGGGGCCCCTGGTGTATCCAGGGCCAGATCAGGTAGCTCTCGGAGAAGTTTGTCGAAGGAGTTTTCCATGTCGCCACGGGACAGAACAGGCCCACACAGGTCAGCCAGCAGCCTGGAGGTGAGCTCCCGGTGGCTGGATTTGGCCTCCAGGGCCAGCGACACAGCCAGCGAGGGCACCTCGCTCCGCATGGGTCCCAGGTTCAGTCCCGCGAGCAGCTCCTGCACGTGGAGAGAGACGTTAACTTGGTACAAGCTTTATGGTTGGGTTCAAGTCTTGTTATCTTTATAGCACTTTGCAAAGGATAGAATTCTAGGTAAATTTCAGCTTCTGTTGCGCAGTGCGTTTCCTGCACACTTACCGCTACTTCATTAGTGTCTCCATGTTCAAAGTACTCTTGCACTATGGGAGTTACCGTCTTCTCAAAATTCCCCTCATCCAGAGGGGGAACCACAGTCTCATACACACAGTTTTCCTGTCAAAACACATTTACAGTAAATGACTCACTTCTACAGTTTTTGGTATTAGTATATATATATATATATATATTTGGCATTTGTTATTTTATCCAGCGTACAAAATAACAATGGGAATAAAAATTTACAATATGGTGCAATCTAGTACAGCAATGTCACAAACTACACCACCACAAATGACCATATAAATACAAAATCTCAAGAAAAAAAAATACACATTATAAGCTTAACATAAGAACAGTTTAATGCAGGGCTGTGAGTTGGATTGCACTAAAGTGATCATGCTATTCTAAACACTTCATGTATAATGAACATCTACAATACCAACACCACAGTCAGTACCTGAGCTTCGTCATAGTTGGGGTCTTTCTCATCTACCTCCTCCTGTTCATAAACTTCACCGGACCGGCCCCACACACCTTTCCCTCCAGCCCCACCTGCAGACAAAAATGACAATGTTAGACATGATATCTGACAACATCACTCATGTTAAAGAAATATACTAAAAAAGCAAGGCCAGTGTTGTTTTCAAAAAGATTTCACGGTACACAGCTTCAAACCCTTTTCAACACATACATAATAAGAAGATGGGGGTGGTGAGGGGTTACAGAGCATGGTGTCATGTGTCAAAACATTGAGACACAGAAACAGAAAGGTGATGCTGATCTATAGTAGGTAACATTAGTGTACAAAAGACTAAACCTATTCTAACTTTGTTTAATATCCATTACAGCTGCAACTCATGATTATTTGCGTAGTCGACTAATTTGTTAATTACTTATTCAATTACTCATCTGGTCACGATTATTTTTGTCACCCCCTAACCCAAATTAAACCATTTAACTAATTAATATCTTTCAAGTGAATTACTGATCTCAAACACACAGACTAACTTGCTAACGTTACCATTAAGTGAATAAGGTTTACTATTCAGAATGAACACCAGTATCAACCCTGGGGGGAAAACAGGGAAGACGACAAGACAGTATAGGCTACTCCTATAAGTCACTGATTTACTATTGCCCTTAACGTGTTTGCTAACCCAACTAAAAAGAGCATTCTCTTTGTCAGCATCATCCCTGAGACCTCAAAACCAAGAATGCAAAGAACTATGGAGAGGCTGCTCCAAGATAACAGCCAGGCTTTATCACCCAAAACAATAAGCTCATAATCTGATTTATTGCGGGGGTTTAACTTTAAACCAGGGTGCGAACTGCGGGGGAGCTTAGCTCCTCTTAATAAGACATCGGCTCCCCTAAAAGTATGATCTGTGATATTTTGGGGGGTCTCTAAAATATTGACAGCATGCTTTATTGCCATTCATTTCTGTATTTCTCTATCATCATGGATCCATGCGTAAAATCAGGAGCATCAGACTTCATCCAGCCAGAGGGAATGATCACCGACCGTCAGCAGCAGCTGTCCCTGGCCCTGTACACTCCACCGCCCCACTCCCTCTCCGGTACGGGTTGTGTCGCTAGTAAGAACGACGCGCTGTGAACGGTTCGTGATCGTTCCCTCTGGCTGGATGAATATTACGCGTGATCCATGCACTGCTGCAGCTGGGGTTTCCCCACAGCGTCACGCAACTTTCTAAATTCTTCCCTTTCACGGAGAAAAGAAAGGTCAGGTCGAAAACACAGCCGCAGCTGTTGTGTGAAGCGTAATTGTAGCAGCTACCTATAATTATAATTAGTAGTAGTAGTAGTAGTAGTATAAGACAAACATGCCTGATACTTTCACAGTCAGCCCCAGGCCTACATGCTTACAGCTATTAATGATTCAGCAGTAAGATTACCCCCCCCCCGGAACAAAAAAAGAAAAGAGCTCCCCGAAAGCTATGGTATTGTTCACACACTGCTTAAAACTTTTAACTTTTTAACAAAGATTTTTGGTTTGGAACAATAGAAAATAAAAGCACATTAAAAGCAAGTACTATAACCACAACTGTGCACTAACTATGTAATGTCTATTTAGAAAAATAAAGCAACAGCCCCCTTTCCAGGCAGTGAGATAGTGATCGGGTCGAGTCAACTGGTGACGTCACCACAGCGGCACTTCAGGTGAGAGGTCACATTGTGCTTCTTTCCTTGTGCTTGCTAGTTGGTGGGTCGAGATATTACTACAGTAACACGTTGTACTAAAAGTTGTGTATCAAACACAGAAATAAGTTTAAGTAATTTTATGGGCAGTTAAATGCCATTACAGAGCGTTTACTGTTGCGAGAGCTCAGAGTGGTAGTTACTAGATACAACTGTAGTGCTGTGAGTGTGTACATCGCTCTGTAGCAACCAAAGAACGCTTTCTCTCTAGTTATATGGCATACATCATATCGGATACGTTTAGTTTCTGTAGTGAGGCTACTCTGCATACAGATCCTTTCAGATGAATTAATTGCAGACTGCATGCTAGGCTGAAAAGAGGAGCATTAACTACCGGTGTGGTGTTTATATTTGCTCCCATTTGAAGTTGTATATTTAGACCATATATTCCTGTCCACTACAATCATGCTGAACCATCCTCCAATTTCATCTGAGAAATCCAGATTGTTTTTAAAATACATGGTAATTTCATTAAAGTCTCACTGATTCGTTTTTTAAGTGTAGGTAAATAGCAGTAAAGCAAAGTAAAAGGCATTATGACAGAAGGTAACCTAGTAAGCCTTTAACTTTACATTCAGTCTGCAGGCAGGTGCTCGGTGTTTTACTTACAACCACACAATAGATGAAATGGTGATGCTCCATTTCCTGTATCTCTGCACCAAAAAACCCAGAGCCATTCTCTCCCTGACTTCCTTATCTCACACAGCACATCTCTCGGCTGTAGTCGGTAACATGGGCTAGACTTCAGAATGGTCTTGTCCAGTGGTCCAAATATGTAATGCTATAGTTATAGTGTAATATAATATTACTAATGTTAAATGGATCATTACATGTGTATGTAATCTGCACCAATTCCCAGCCCTGTTGTATAAACCCTCTGCTTGGGGAGGTGACTTTGCATGTGTTACACAAACAAACATCATCTAGGTCTGAGGTCAGCAATAACAGTTTAAGAAGCCCAACACAAAGCAGCTTGTGTGACATGCTTTGAAACCTCTGTTAGCCCCACCCAGTATGTGGCATATGACATGCCACTATATTTAGCATAGCCCACATTGTTTGTGACAGTTCAGCGTTGAAACACTGTATACACTGGTTTGCTCTCGCATACAATTCTGCACATCCACGGCATTTTTCTTTCAAAACTGCAATGCATGAACTTTTAATGCAGGTTAGCTCAAATAACAGGGCTCCACTGGTGTGGCAGTTGTTGTGTAACCAGAAAAACAGACAGACTGTGTGCCAAGAGAAACTACATTTGTTCCAGTTCCACCGCCCATGTGAAGAGCACAGTAACTACAGTCTGCTGCGACTTATAAGTAGGCATCGCATGCTTACATCACTGAATGAGGACCTGCAGTGAGAGGCAGCTGGGCTATCAGAAGATGTTGCCACTTGACACACTAAATTCTTTTCTACTTATGTTTGTGATGTCAGTGATACTTGTAAAATACAGATAGGTTCAAGGAGAAGGCAGGCTTCTTTGGGTTGATATATAAAAACTGGAAAAGGACAGTAAACCATTATGCAACCTGTTAAGCTGAATGCCTAATGCATAATCAGTAGGGTCACACACAATAAGAAAATTTAGCTATCACTGTGTCCTGACACCCAAGATCATCTCATTTCAGCAACACAAAACAGACAACAGGTCAAACATATGCTCCATAAACCTTATGAAAGTAACTTTATACTGAACTTCCCTTAAAATTACAGATGACTGTCTCAGTTCAAAAGGTGACATACTCACATCACAGACCATGCACTTGATACAATATCACTAGTACACTATACGCAAATGTTGCTAGGATTATTAATGAGCTTATAATGGTAATTTCCAGAAAAGCTTTGCTGAGTAGATGGCAAGAAATGAAAAGGGTGCTTTAAAACCTAGCCATTTATGTACGTGCCAATTGGTTTACGACTCCTGGATGGACCCCCGCCCCAGGGGACGATGCAGTTATGAAGGTCCCTTGTAGCACTGGGTACTGAAATACCAGTGGTTCTTTAACTTGCCTGCGTTAATGACCAGCAAATAGTTAACCAAATCTCATGATAACAATTTCACAGTCACATTTATTAAAAAAACAAACAAAAAAAACTGGACTGACTTATTACTTTTTTAAAATGTCAAGTCTTCTCACCTTTCTTTGGCAGACCTCTGCCCTTTCCCAATCGGGACTTTCTGTCCAGCAGCTTGCTCTTGGGGCTGGTGGGTGCCGCAGAGGTCCCCTTAACCACATCCCCATTATCGCTGAGAGAGTCCCCCCTCCCAGAGTCCCTGGAGGAGTTTTTTCTCAGCCTCCGCTTGGCCTTCGCCTTGAGGCGTGCTTCATGGATGCTGTTGCTAGACGAGGTCAACCAGTTGCCATTGATCTCATTGTTGATGTTTTTGTTGGAGATGCCCAATCTTCCAGTGTCTTCGTCTCCAGATAAAAAGGAGTCACTCAGGTCCTCAGCCTCTGTTGGATTACAAGGATAAATGGGGAGTTAATGCTGAAGTTGGCTGACTATAAGAAAGTAGCTTTTATATGCAGAACAGATCAGGGAGCTGATACATATATTTTTCTTTGTGTAAATAAAATAAACTCAGGAAAAGACGCTTTATTTAAGACTGAATTACACTATAATTGATAAAAAAATGTTTTATCTGCAGTCCCCCACCAAATGGAGGGCAAGCAGCAGAATAAAGTCAGTAAACCTGCAGGCAGTGCAAGAAAAGTACGCAATCAACCACTTCCGCATGAAAAAGTCCCAGTGCCCTGCATCAGACACAGCTGATGAAGCATTTAAATCGTTGACTGTCTCACACCTACCGACGGGGTTTGCGTTCAGCCAGGCCTCGCAGTCAGTTGCCATGTTCTAAAATAGAAAAGAGATTGTGCAGCAGAACAGCGTGCGAATTTCAAATGATACCTGCAATGTTGAAGAGGAAACACAAGTGTTATATGCAGACACGCGTTAATAACATGCCCAGAGATGCTGCTAACTCAACAGCCTCCCCTCCCCCTATTCATTCAAAGTCGCACTGTTGATAAACAACGGCTAACGCTACGTTAGCTTCAATGTTCACTGTCAACGGAGAGCTGCGTCAAAAGGACCAAACTACAGAGTGCCTAACTGCACGTAGGGGACGATTACAACTGTCACACATAGTCTAACTGTGCAGTTTAAGTTACAGTTTGCTAAGCCCTCCTTACATCGCTGACTCGCCATGTAACGTTATCTGTTGTTGAAGCCCAAGAGACAAGAAAATCTCAAATCTAACTGCACAGAGTCCGCTAGCTTGATGTACATCTCTTAGCTAACATCTACAAAATTGTTTAACCCTTCCCAACACTGACATGTAAACTATTCACGTCTATCTCCCTTGTTCTGTCGATTAAATAACTCACAATAAAATCACTGACCGTCTGTTGTGTCCAAGCTTCAAACTCCGACAGACACTAACGTTGTTGTTTTTGTTTTATATCTACCCAGCAACGCAGACGCGTCGATCCGTTTTTCCTTCCCCTGATTGGCTGGAGGTTTGTGGGGGTTTAAAGGAAAGAACCAATGAAAATACAACACGGGATTCTCTGTTCTCGCACGTTCTGTGGAGTGAGTCTACCAAAGTGCTGCCCCCCATCTGTGAGACTGCAGAACAGCTCTTTATAGTTTCCCTGTTTATCTCATCAGCTACAACACTTCATTAATGATTATGATATTGATGACTGTTTTTATTTTTTTAAATATGAGGTATTTCTTCATTAAATATGTACTGATTTGGATATCACACATTTTCCAGCACATTGGTAAGAGTCAGGCAGATGGTGTTATTGTGATAATTTACCAAATGGCCAGACATTTATTTTATTGTTTTAAAAAAAATTATTCATGGATTTTTTATAAATATACCAGTTGTATGTGTGATGGAGCCTTATTCCCCTACATATTTACAGAGAAAATACCATATAAAATGAGAATGATTAAAGATATTTGAAAAGATGTCTTGCTGTAAGGCCGAAGAAACCGTGTGTAACATTATAATGATCTAACTGCCTTCAAGAGCGAGGAAAATTACTTGGCATACAGGAAACATGTCAGAACAGCTGTTAAAGATTAGCTAACGCAATAGAAACATAGCATAAATATTACTGTTTGTAATATGAACACATCTCTTATTCACATATGATATATGAACTTGCCAACATTGTGCTCTAGAAAACAAACTTTCAAATGATTCATGATTCAATATGGAAAGTTTTAAAAAGACTTAAACTTTTACATGGAACAAGGATGAAATTGACTTGATCTGCAGTTAAAGGACTAATTATGTTTATATGTATTATCCAAGATTGTTGTGCACATTTAATGAAAGTATGGTAATAATGGTTGCTCAATAACTTGAAATATGAAAATTGACAGATTGAAGCACATTTGGACACCTTAAGAATATTATGTTGTGTAAACTTACTGTGTGGGTAAGTAGATTAAATATATATATAAAAATTAAATATATAATAATATAGATTAAATATAATAATATAAAATGTAAAAAATAACATAAATAAAAAGCTGGATAAAAAACTGGACTCTTACAGAAAACTAAAGATATACAAACTGAGTTTACACATCTATTGAGACATCCACAATTAGTTTCAGCACCCAGCTTTGTTTCTTGCCTCAACACTTGGGGGAGCTATTATACAACACTCCCACTCATGCCCGACCATAAGCTGGTGTAGAAAATAGATGGATGGATGGTGTATGGTTCCTTAGGGGTGTTCATGACTGTATAACCAACATACCACATAGCATACGCAATATGTTCAATTTTACACAATGTTCATTTGAGAAAAATCAAAAATACCTGTTGAAACATGTTTAAAATGTTTATTTTTTGCATTGAAAGTCATATGAAAAGTTTGTCAAAGAAAACAACACTATCATTGATGTCACAGGATCAGTATTCACAGTATACAAAAACAAATTCTGGCTTGATAACATTGCATGTTTAACTCTGATAAATTAAACACATGGTCCAGTCTAAGGTCTTTAATATTTAAGGCATTACATATGTTGGCAAATGTGACCAGTGATTGTTTCATGAATTAAATCCAACATAGAACTTCAAGAAAATAAAGATCTTTTGCATAGTTGCATCATTATCAATCCAAATAATGTACATTTTTACCCAACAGACAGATATTGTAGTGCACAAACTGTCAAAATGTAAAGAAAAAAAGCGAGAGCCTTTAAAACCACAGATATAAATAAAAATGTAAATGCTGTGTACTAAGCTGTACAGTGAAATCTGAAACCTGAGAATCTGCATCAGTTTTTTAGTAAAAACATTCCTTGGCACTTTTTTTCAAGTTATTTTGCAATTGTAAATGTATCATTATTGATAAATAATTGTATTGTAATTGATTTAAACTCAGCAGATGGACTACCATAAGCCCACGCTGTAACAACATGTCGTCTTCGTAACTAATTTAATTTAATTAATACATTTCCCTTTCAAAAAAATAAATAAACAACAAATACATTTTATCACACAAAATCTAATGACATAAACTGCAAGGAAACTGATAAATGAAAACAATTGCAATTAAATATTGTAGCCTCATTATACATTACACTTCAGGTATGTACATTGTATTGTAACACTGAGAGCATCTATGGCTGGGGTTGTCAGTGTCATTCAAGGCATACAAACATCCCTCCCCCAGAATAACAAAACCAGTGCAATCGTCCGCATACTCTAGCTTCCACGTGTCACATTTACCATGCTGTAGTAGTCCACATCTTTGCACCAACAGCACGCACACACAAATCTATCCTCTGCTGTTTGCTGAACAAGACGTGAGAGGTCAAGCTGATGTCACTGTGCGGCTGATGGTTGTGTGCCTGACAGACTCTCCTCTGCCAGCTGGGAAAGGTATTTCTGTGAATGAAGAAAAAAAAAATACAATCCAACATATATCAGAACGCAGCATCTTGATATCAACATCAGCACGTTAGTCAAACAACCATCTGACCAGTCTTTTCCACCAACAGCATGTTGGAGGTAATTGTACGATCGATTTAGGGCTACTTAGAAATTAATTATGAAGTCACATTATAATCTGTAAAATTTAGGTCTGTATCTATAATATGTGCTATTAGCTGCATTAGCCCCAAAATGCCATGTTGATAAAATCCTATCCATTTAAATTGACTCAAATATCTGACTCTAAATACCTCGTTCAATTTTTTTTGTACAGCAGATACAGCAAAGCAGTACCTGATACATTGAGTTTTAAAACAACATTAACCTAATAAATATCTGTAAATAAATGCATACTGTACTACATTTAGAAACAAATCCACAACAACAAAACATACTGAGTGCTGAAGTTAAACTATGTAGATGACTAAGGAGAGTAAACTAATATAAAACTATTAAACACCAGAACACACACACACGCATGCAAAGATTTGACGGGCAGCACAACTGTTAGAAACTGTTTTTCCTCTTGGAATGTAATCCATCAAATGTGAGGGAATTGCTGCTCCTCTAACTGCCTCAGCTGCGCTGCCGGGGTCGAGAGAAATGCAAGATGGCTTGGTGCTGAATGGGCAATAATCAGAAACCTAATGCAGCTGCAAGTTTACATGCAATGTGTATGTTGGCTTGTCTGTGTGCGTGTGTGTCTGTGTGTGTGTGCAAGGATGTGTCAGTAGATATTGCTGTGTCGAGTTTGTATTTGCCCATCTGACTGCATTTGTTCATTTTATACTTTGATTCCCTTCTATACTTCTGTTGATTCTTTAATCAAATAATGTTTATAGTCCATAAAATGTCAGAAAATACAATGGCCATCAAATGTTCCCAGAGCCCAAGGTAATGTCTTTAAATCGGTTGTTTTGTTCAAACAGTGCAAATGCATTTAATATAAAGTCATGTAAATCTTAATAATTAATAAATCTTAATAAAAGGCTTAAACAGTTACTAAATCATCAAAATTGACATTATTTTCTGCAGATTCTGCGCTGTTGCGCATATTGCCAAATTATAATCTAGCAAGAAAAGAGTTTAGATACTAAATAAACTCAACAATCAATTTAAACAAAAAGCATTTTGGAATATAATGCTAAGTGTATAAAAAGGTGTACAGTTTATACAGTACTGTATATTACTGATGGTCACACTTCTTGGATCCTCATGTCCACTAACAGAAAGGTCAAACATGTTCACTGTCCTTTGCAGTCCTCTTTAGAAAACAACATTTTTGATTAAACATTTAAAGAAAGATTCATTCCCCAAATAAGACCTACGTACATAAGAAGAAAGGCGAATGTGCTGAACGTTTGCGTGTGAAGAGATTACTCACCACCAAGAAACAGGTGGTGTCATCTTGTGAATTCTGCTCCCAGACCACACTGACTGTGGACTGATAGGCAGGCATACAGACTTGAACTGTTGATACTACATTTGCTGGTATAAAAGGAGTGACGGCCAATATGTGCATACAACACATACAAATAGATTTACTGTTAGACACACATGCAGACCTCAGCGATAGCACATCTCGTGTAATTCACAGAGGAAAGATTGAATAAAATGTGGAAATGTATAAATCCAGATTATTATATTATTCCTCCTGTGATCAATGTCACCATCACCTGAAGGATGGGTGTGTCACCAGTGTGCAGTGAGTACCTGTAGGTTCCTGTAGTGTACCGTGCTGCGGCAGTGAGTGGTCTTTGCAGTCTCCTCGCTGGTGTAGAACAGCCCGCAGAGTTTACAGTAGAAGCCAGTCTTTGGCACAATGAACTCTACTCCTATTAGGACAGCGAAGACAGCAATTAGAATTCAGTCCCCAGAAACCGGCACTTGACAAAATCAGGGTTTTCACAAGTATCTACAGTGACAGTACTTCAGGCAATGCTGCAATCCAGTTTACTACATGCTGCAGTTTGTGTCCTAGTTTAAGAATAAAAATGAAACATTTGTAACTGAATCCAAAGTAAAAATATCCTGTTCCATCAATTTACTGTGCATCTTTTTTTTGTCATTCTCCTTTATTCAAACCCATTTTTTCTTCTGCTGCAGAGAAAATAAACGACACCTGTCAGCGTCAGGCTACATAATATAACCTCTCTGGGTGCTCCCCTCACTTCGCCAAACTCTCTTCTATTTTCCAACAACAACAACGAAAACCCATTTTAAATGAAAAGGAAAAGATCAATATCACACATTTTCTTCACACATTGACAGTAGGATGTACTATGAGTTACTATATTCACTCATCTACTGTATATCATTTCTGTATATAACGTTTGTTTTGTATGTAGCATAAAGGGAATTTACAACTCTGATTATATAACCAATATAATAAAATAATAAACACATCTACCATGCACCTTGTATATCTGAAACACTGAACGCATGAGATTGGATGTCGGTAAACTGTCCATTAAAACACCACAATTTTATTTTCTATGTTTTAATGAATGATCATCTTACTATGGTTTGTGCTGATTT